AGAATGCAGGCCACTCTGCTGATAACAGTCTCCAATATGACATGCAAACTGATTATTAATGTATTTACTGAATGTTGACAGCTAAGTGACAGTCTTCAGTAAACATATTTTATTGATCAGTTAGTGTTTAATTAATATTGAAATTCTTTCTAGGTTTAGTAAGACAGTGAACAATAATTAGAGCCCTCAGTGGCTGTGTGTGTTGTGGGGTACCCTCGGTGCTGGCAGAGCCCCCCATGCCCAGCAGCAATGAGGGCACAGGCAGCAGGGCCAGCAAAAGACATGGAGAGCTGAGGCAGTGTGGCTCAGTGCAGTACAATGGGCCCGCAGAGCTCAAGGTGCTCCTCCTGCCCAGGCTGCTTGCAGACCAGGCTTGGCAAGAAGTCTGTGGTGCTGTGCCCCGCACATTACCTCATCCTTGTGATCCTGTAGATGCAGGGTGTCCTTTTCCCCAGAAAGCTCAGCAGCTTCCTGCAGCCCATGAAAGGTGAAAGCAGTGTGCTGTTTTCACCTGCAGCAATAGCTCTGCAGCATGTTGAGGCCCTTTTTCATGGCCAGGCATGGCACAGCCTCTGCCAGCAGCACCAAGCAAACCAATTCTCAGGCCATGTGGGCAGTGTTTTCTCTTGCCTCCCTGTTGTGAGCAGGGCAGGAGCCATGCAGTGCCCTTGCTGTGCTCCGTGCACCACCATGTGTGGAGAGGAGCAGTGCCTCAGAGGCAGCAGTCAGTGCCGGGGGAGCAAATCTGACACAGGGCCACAGCAGCACCGCCAGCTCTGGAGGATCAATATCTGCATCTTGTCATGCTAATTGCATTTTGCTTGACACTCCTGATTCATTCTCTCTCCCCCTCCTGGTGTGAACTCTCTGCAGCTAGAATGCCGAGAAGTGGAAATGCCAAGAAACGAGAACACCAAGCCCTCCGAGCCCACTGCTGTTGCAGCAGGACAGGAGGGCCAGGCCAGCCACAGGCACTGCACTCCCTTCCTCTTTGCTCACACAGGAAATGCCTGGAGGGGCCTTCAGCACAGGGCTGGATCAGGCACTGGTTATTAAGCCATCAGTTATAACTTTGGGTGCCCAGAGCATCGGACACAACCCCCCATGTCCAAGGAGCAGGCACCCTGTGTAGCTGTCTCCCAGCCTTCCTGGGGCATATCCCTGCTGCCACAGGCGTGCACACGATCATACCTACCATATTGGCTTCCTGTCCCCAGAACATCAGGTTTTTGCAGCTGGTGTGCGGGGGGGTGTCTCCTCCCGACAATCCCCACCCCCAGCAGCATCAGGCCTGTGCTGTTCAGGGTTTTGTTAAGCCGTTTAGTATTAATTGATTTTTTTTTCCATTTTTTCTTTCTTTCCCTGGGCGGGTCAATAGCTGGATGCTCAAGAGCAGAGGATCTATCAACTGCAGACCAAGCAGAGGCAGAGGCAGGCAGAACCGGAGCAGTAATGCAGCCAGATCCAGCAGCTCAGCCAGGAGCTGGAGGCCACCACCAGCTACAGGAGGAAGCTTGGATGCAGGTAGGAGAAGATGCCAGCATGGTCTGGCTCGGCAGGCCAGTATTGGAACTTTATTTAATGCCTTCACAGCAGTGGTAATAATCTGCTGCTCCTGTCTAAATGACAGCATAACAAAAGGCTAAAAATGCAAAAGTGGAGTCTGTCAACTCACAGCGAGGAGGGAAAGTCCCGGGAACTGGGGAGATGGCTGCAGCTCTGCTGTCTGTGGATAGGTGCTTGGGCTGCATTTGACCAAAGATGTGACTGCTGTAATGCACGGATGTCCTGCATGCTAATCCTGCTGCTCACCTCCTGAGAGAGAAGGGGAGAGGGCAGCTGGTAGAGAACATGAGGAAGACCACAACTCGCAGGACATGCTCTCCCAGCTATGTAACATTGATGTGTGTGAGCCAGGACAGAGGCTTGTGTAGCTGAAATCCTGAGTTTGCTCCAGGACGAGCAGACATTTGCAATGGGAGTTGCTCTGCAGACCTGACAGAAGGCCTGCAGGGCAGTGTTTGTGCCTGTCATCTCTGTGCCATTGTCTGCTTGGTCCCCTGCCCTCATACAGCTCCTCTCCTCCAACCCCTGTATTTCAGAGCTGCCAGGAGTCACACTGCTCAGACTGCACATTCCTTCTGCATGCAGATCTGGCTTGGGAGAGCACGCTACTCACATGTCGGCTCAGCCGCGTGTTTGTCTGCCTGATGTCCATTCAGGCACCTTTAGTCGTTAATGGATTTTGACTGCAGGCTGTGATCAGATCCAGATGGCAAACAGATTCTGGGACGTGGAGAGAGTGGATCCTGAAAATCTGTGCAGGATTACTTGCTTAATCTGCATCGTTCCTCCACAACACCTGCTTCTAATCTCTTTCAGCACTCCTTAAACCAGAAGAATTATGTCTATTTTAAAAACTTGATAGTGCAGCATTCTCAGTGTACTGGAAGACTAAATCAGCCACGTGCTACTGGTGCTGGAGTATCAGGTCTCACCGTGCTGGACAGCAGAATGAGCTCCGCACAGCTGGCTTGTCCAGAAGGAGAGCAGCATTTTAGAATCTGAGCGGTATTTTTCTCCTTATTACTCAAAGTAGAAATGGTTTGTTTCACTTAATTTAGTGATAGTGAGGTACGTTCACTTCATGTGAAGGAACATAGCTAGATATTGTTCCTTTTACTGCCATGTCATCCTTTGTTCTCACTATGTGTATGTGTGTATGAAGAGACAGCACAGCATGTGGGCAGAACTGCATGTTGCAAGCCTGTTTTCAGATTGTCTGCTGGAGAAGGCTGCTGCTGGCAGTTTGCATGCTTTTGTCTACTTGTGTGCATGAATGGTGAAGGATGAATGAATCTGTGAGTGTATCATTGTGTGCCTGCATTTTTTCTCCATATGTATACGGGTATCCATACACTGATTTGTGCAGCCAGAGCACAGCAGGGAGGAATCATGCTTCTGTTTCTTCTTACAGTTACTCTGTCTTACTCCCTTCCCATCCTATCCCTTCCATGTGTTGATGCTGAGTTCAGGTGAGTCTGACTGCTTGCTTTTGGTGTGAAAGTGACAGATACAACAACACAGTTCTAATCTTTCTCCTACAAAATTCCCAATCAAAGCACATCCAGCTCTGTTACATAAAAATCTAACATTCTTCTGGGTCAGAACAGAGCTCTACAGTGCTCTGTGTCTGATGGCAGCTTATGCCCATGCCTTGGAAAGAGGAAAAAAAGGAGAAGCTGTACTGTTGCCCAAAGATGCTCTCCAATCTCCATGGTTACAGGGATTCCTGATTCCAAGCTGGAATCTTTGTGTTTTAACAGCCCTCAAGGAATTTTCATCAATGTCAAACTATTTTGTCAAACTATTTTTGTAACCCAGACATTATGTGGCTTCTGCAGTGTCTCACAGCAGCAAGTTCCACTGTTTAACCATACACAGGATGCAGAGTCACTTCTTTTTGTTTACTGTTATTTTATTGAAAGACTGTGACCAATCATTCTTTAGTCACCTTCTGTGTGACACTTGCAATTTTATGCTTTCCTTCTATTGTCCTCCTTCTGCACAGAAGGGCCCCAGTCTTTTTTTTTTTTTTAATTAGGGAAACAATCCCATCATTAAATCATCTCTGTCAGCCTTTACCATTCTTTCATTTGTCCTGTTGCTTTCAGTTGTATTATTTATGTAGTTTCAGGGAGTGTTAGATTTTGACTAGAAAGAGGGCAGTCCTTCCCACCACACCAGCTTACATCTTGCTCTGTCTCTATCCAGTTCTGCTTAAAGCTCTTGTCCCATCTCTGTCTCCATCTGGCTGTACAGGAAGCACTGCCAAACCCAGCCCCAACCTGCTGTGCCAGGAACTGTCTTACAGTACTTTCTGATTCTCCCAAAGATTTACAACCCATCTCCATCCCCATATGTTGCAAGCTTCTCTCCAGCTTCTCACCCCATCCAGCTGATTAACACTCCAGTTCCTATAACTGCCTGGGGAGCTCTTCATCCCATCTTATCCCAGTCTATCACATCCAATCCCCACCCTTGTCTGGCTATGCTAGGAGTCTGAAACATCTCCAGACTCACCTGGCTGCGTATGATCTCTTCTCTCATCTCCTCCAGTAGTGCCAGTTTTTTCCACTTTTCTGCATTTCCCTCACAACTTGTACCAAGAGCTACTAACCCTCTCCAGGAGCACTTTTCTACCTCCACATTCCTGATGATCCAAAATAGCTCTGGCCCACCAGCATGTTCCTGCTCATGTGTGAATCAATTTCCTATCCTCACTAATTACATTTCTCAAAACTCACTCCTCGGGATGTGCCTGACCTGCCCTCTGCATGTGCTGGTTTGAGCCAGACACAGCTGCTGGGAGATCTGTTCATGTGGACTTTGTGCTCCCAGGGCTGGCAGTCCCAGGATACCTGTAGCAGGGCAAACATACTAGGAGTCTGCAACCTGGAGTGTCAGGTGTAATTTAGTACTAGGAACGCAAGTTATAGCCCTGCTCTTTAAGGAAAGGCTGGCAGTGCAGCTCTGCCTGTCAGCTGAGACCCCCACCTGGTCATGAGCTCTCCTGTGAACGAATCAGGATTTGGCATATCGTTGTTTAAAACAGCCCCCATGCTAATGTCTTTTTGAAGTGAAACTGAGAAGGCTGTTAACCTCAGTTAGCCAGCTGTCCTCACCATGACCTGGATAAATCATCATAGCAGAGCTCCAAAGAACATGGCTCTCACTGCTCTGGAAAACGGAGCTGCAGGGAAAGGATTGTGCTTTCAGCAGGTGCAAGGGAGGCTTCCCTGCACCAGGGTTGTGCAGCAAAAGACTGGTGTATTGCCACGTGTAGCAGAAATGCTAAGTCATGGCTTGAAGCAGTGATTGAGCACCTGGTGGGGAGGCAGGGCCAGCCCAGGGGAGCTCAGGTGCATGCAATGTACCCGAGTGATGAGAAGGGCTGGAGCCAGGATCCACCCCTTCCTAGACCTCATTTAAGGGTTGGCAGTGATGGTGTCTTATTGAAAATTCCTGCCTACCTGAGGCCTTCCAAGGGTAAGCAGCTTTTTCTTCCTTTGTTTGTGTGTCCTTGGCTGTTGCATTTGGGCTTGCCCTCATTTGCTGCAGTCTAGGACTTTGCTACCCTGCTTTTACTGCTGTGCTTTCTGTCACATTACAGCATGCCGAGTCCTGCTGGTGCTCCAGGCTGGGCATCGAGGCTTAGAGAAGTCCATTCCCTTCCCTGAGAGCCATCAAAGGAGTTATGGATTGCACTGTAGCTTGTAGAGAGGCAATCTGCTGTACGTGGGAGAGGGTGAGTTTCCACAGAGCTGCTGGGATGTCTCATCATCTAGCCTCCGCTTGTGACCATGTGGGCACTGGTGTAGCACCAGGCTTCCAGGTTCATTCTTTCTAGTTGGAGGTTGGGCTTTCTCCAGAGCAATCTCTACCTCTGAGCTGTCTTTCTCTGTGGTGAGGAAGGATACAGAAAGGACACTTTCTCCAAGAGAAAATAGTGCTGTTTTGGGCCATCATGTGCTCTGGGGTAGTTTTGTGCAGCAGGAGCATCACGTGCTGCTCTCAGAAGAACACCCTGCTTTCAAGTGTCAGACTGACTGCTTAAGCTGTGGTCCAAGTTTCTCCTTGCCAAAGCAATGCCAGGTACCTGTGAAGGGTTGAGAAGATCTGCTACAGTGTTTGTCTAGGCCAATGTGTCTTTATCAGAGCCACCATCAGCAGCTGTAGAGAAAGGTGCAGGAAATTTACAGCAGGTGGTTCAGAGCAGCTTGCTCCAAAGGCTGATTTAGAGATTGGCTCATTCTCAGCACAAGGCACTTCTTTCTGCAAAGAGCCGTTTTGACTCCAGGAGCTGTTATCTGTGCAAAGGCCTCATTACTTTATCTCAGAGGGCACTCATAGCTGCTGTTTCAGTTTCATTGTGTGGCAGTGAGTTCCACCAGACAGGTTTTCTCTTGTTGTTTCTAATCTGGCTGAATTTTTTTTTCCTCTCCAGCATGACAGAGGAAAAGCACAGCACCAGCTGCATATAAGAAACTCCTGGAAAGAAGAACAAAGCCAACTGTTCTCCATGTCCACGAAGGCATGCACAAGAACTAATGGGTGTATCCTGCATCAAGAAATATTCAGGTTAGGAACAGCTTCTGATGGAGAGGAGAACAAAGCAGGCAAACAGACTGCCAGGGGCCTGAGGATTCTGCATCACAGGGGATCTTCAAGGAAAGATAAACAGAAGAAAAGGCACCTGTAGGTTCCCCTATCATAGAACTGGAAGATGGGCCATCAACCTCTTGAGATTCATGCCAGCCTTACTCATTTTCTAAACCCAGCTTTGTTCATACCCTGAAACTCATCTGTCTTCTTCAAAGCCCCACCATAGTCTCCTTTAGCATTTATGTGCTATCAACATATCACTTGCCAGGGTGATTCTAGAAAAGTGACTGCGCTTGAGTCTTGGATGGATGCTTGCTTCCTACTGTGGTTCACCTAACCTCCAGGAGACTCAATGCCTGCTTTGTGTTGTAAATGGTGTCCCATCTTGAGATGCATTGCCTGTGTTCCTGCCTTGGATAGCAGTGTTGATCTGTGGAAATATTCTTCCATCTTTCTTGGAACCTCATTCTTATGCGTCTGCAGGCTTGTTCACAGGAGACTAGCTGAGGAGCATGCTCACTGCTGTTTTCCCAGGTAAATTCAGCCTTGCTTGTCTTCCTCACTAGTGGTGTTCCTTCAGCTCTCTTCTCAGGGAACAGGGTTCTCTTTGTACTGATGCTGTGGGTTGGAGGAATGCACAGAGTCTGTCCTCTTCCTTCTCTCTGGAAGGACAAACAGAGCTGCCTGACTTCTTGTCCAGGAGCCTTAGCACTCACCTACTTATACTGGGATGATGACTTGGTGCTCCTTCCTGTGTTCTAAAACATGCTGCTGCCTGGGTTGGTCCAAGGTAGAAGTATGTTTCATAGGGTGAGCAGGAGCCTGAGTGCAGTGGGCTTGATACCTGGTTCCAGGGCCTTAACTGAACTAGGCAAGGATCAGGCGATTGTGTTGCTCAACAAAACTGCACAGCTGACAGTCTGAGCTGCTCTTTAGCAATACATCTAGCAGTCTGCAGCACTTTAGCTGGAGCTGGTAGGTGTCTTGTTCCTTGCATTGCTCTCACGAACTTGCACGTGGAAAGAAAGCTGGATCTTCCCCTTTTTACTGCCTCCTTATCTGGCCAAAGGTTACCCAGTAGTCAGAACACATGCCTTAACATATGCTGAAGAGAGCAAGCAGAGCCTGGAGGATGTTGATGGATGACAAAAGCTCTGATACATACATCTGTATGACATGTGGTGCTGTGCCTCAGGCTTTGGCCTGAGCATTGCCGTTCCACCCTTGGTAATAAACATATGAGTAGATAAGGCAGAGATGGGAGTATAGATTTGCTATCTGAACTTTTGGATTTAATTTCCATTCTTAGCTGTGTGCAATTTCCTATATGTGCTGTTTTGCAAATGAGTTGCACAATAGCTATAAAAGACCACCTAGAAACAAGGTCGGCTTGATGCCACTTAGTTCTGCTGCGCAGTGGTGGGTCCAGGCAATGTGGAGGTGTGGTTCAGACCCATGGAAAGGTCTCATCTATGCTCCCTGATGGCTGTGTGAATCTACTGCTCTTTGCCTGCCTAGCGTTTGAGTGCAGTTATGGTGCTGGAGAAGTGGAATTGCCTGGCTATCAACAGTTGACCTACCTAGTCTCAGTTACCAGAAGCGATGCATTTTTCTTAGATGGTGCTCACTCACAGAGCCTTACACCTGTCTGTGGGGCAGCAGCCACTTGGATTGTAGGTCCTCAGTGGGAGGGAGGAATCGGCGCACACGTACCATACACCAGGACACAAAGCAGCTCCCACAGACACCTTGGTGCTGCCAGTAGCTTTTACAGGGCTAGAAACACAGTCACAACAGCCAGTGGGATCTGCAAGTAACATGGCAAGGTGAAATGTGTAATGTGTGCGGACATTGAGGAGGAACCCCACCAGGCACCTGGGCCTGAAAGCTGGCTCCACAACACAGATGTTAGAGGGAATAAAGGGAATGGCAGAGGATCAACTAAAATGTTGTGCAAGGGTGGTTTTTCTCCATGTAGTTTCTGAAGGAACGGTCTTTGGGGCTGTGGAGAAATGGGCAGCCTCCAGGCTGTGAGGTTAATGCAGAGCCACGGCTGTTTGTGTAGTTGCAGAGCCTTTAAGAGAGACTTGGGAAAACTAGCTTGGATTCCAATGAATATTTACAATTACACTGCTCCAAAGCTGAATCCAATCACATCACTACAGTATGCAGTCTTTGTGTATTAAAAGAAAATGTGAGGAAAGCAGAAAAGATGAGCTGCAGAGCTGCCTTTGGAGAGACCTCCCTGCTTGTGACAGAACTAAAATGCTTTATTTCTGATAGAAGCAATTCATTCTTTGGGCATTTTGCTTGATATTAAAGTTCCTGGCTGTTTTTTGAAGTGACAGTTTTCAGTAGATGGTCTTCAAATCAGAGTGAAAGAAATAGGAAGTGTTGTAGTCTATAATGCTGATATTGCACTAACAAACTGGAAATAAGGGAGCACTTCCAAGCTAGAGCAGAGATGCTTCCCCCACTTTCCACTTGCTGAGTCTGAGATTACCATGTTCAAGAGGCCTGGACAGAGCTACCCTTGTTAAAATCATGCTCCTAATATGATATTTGAATGGTCACCAGGCTTTGCCATTAAACAGGATGATCTAATAAACAGGATGATCCAACAGAGGAAGAAACAAAAAATGCTGGATAAATGTTCATTGAAGCTCGTTATTGGCCTTTTCCTTTTTTTCAGCAGAAGATAGAAAAATGTGTCAGGGAATCACTGCGTGCAAAGAAGATGGAGGATTTGTGAGTGTAAGACCCGTGCAGAGAACTGTATGCAGCAGAGTAGGAAGTGTGTGGCAAAGCAGAGCTTCTGCTCGAGGTGACAAAAGGAACAGCACCAAAAGCTCATCTCACTGTACTCCCAGCTGATTAGCTCTTCTGCGTGGTGCCAGGGAAATCAGCTTGGGCTCTTGTATGCCTTGTGTTGGCAGCTGGGTAAGCTTAAGAAAGAGCTGTACTAATGGAAGGGATACTCATCTGGATGCCTTAAGACCTATGGTGCAGCCATCCACTCATACACTGGGAGGTTTTCCACAACTCTGACACAACGCAAGCAGTTGTGGAAGAAGGCAAGTAGGAGATGGGACAAAAGCACAGATCAGGATGAGGATGGAAATGATTCTTTTTATTCAGACACTGCATGGCATGTTGCCAAAATGTGGCTGCAGCACCAAACTGCTGCTCTAACACAGGCTGTGAATAACTCACGGCTTGTTGCGGTCTTGGAGTACAAAAACACCACTACTTTTCTTTAATCACAAATATTTAAGGTACATCCTTCCAGTCTGTCATGCAGATGTTCTGAAGCACCACGGCAGCATCAGAGCAGGTGCTTTGTGAGAAGGCATGTATGATTGAAGCTGCAAGAATGTGCACTTATATTTACACAGGGCGCACTTACAAGCACACCTGACCTGCAACAGTGACATCTGAAGGCCTAGCCTGCTCCATCCCCATGGTCCCAGCAGGTGGCATGTCTCCACACCTGAGCAGAAGACAGTGTGGTGCTGTTTCCAGACTGCTAATCCCATCGTGTGGTTTGAAGATGATGTGTTTCCTATTGCCTTTCACCTTGTGACTGCACAGATCCCTTCTGCTGGATGGCAATCTTAAAGGATGCTGATGGGAAATCCCAGGAAGCTGCTCTCTGATCTAAGTCATGCTGCTGGTAGAGGGAAGTCTCTGACACATGCAGGCATGGCACAGGGTGTTCCCTGCTGCCTGGCACATACTGCAGTCGATAGTCCTCAGCAGGAACTTGCATTCAATATTATACTGTCTAAGAGGCTTAAAATTGACTGTGAAGCTTCAGTACAACTACAAAAAAAATCTTGTTTTCAGTTTCTCCTATGGTGGATTGCTCCAGAATGAGACAGAGCAATTTGGTAATTGATTCATGGAATATGGGTATCTGCACTGCAGTATTTGGAATCAGATTATGTAATATGAAAAGCAGTCATTCATTTGAACTTCCCTTGTGGGAATGGTAGCTGCCCAGACAAGTTCCCCATGAAGATGGGAAGTGTGACAGAAATCAGACAGAGCCCACTTCTGTGTGCTGCAGAAACAGCAGAGCGGTTTTGCACCCACCAGGAATGCCTGCATTGTATCTTGCTCTCCACCACTTGCTGTAGTTTCTTATGCCAGCTCCTGACAGACCCCAGTTGCTGTAGCATAAAAAACAGCACCAGAAGAGCAGCATGCTTGTGCAGTTCTGGTAAACCTCCAGCCTGCTGGAAAGTTACCAAGTAGTTTCTAGTGTCATAATAGGACTTGACAAATGCTGCTGTCAGAATAGGACTCAACGTAACAGTCCATTGAAGCCACCAGCCCAGGAGTGGGAATGGCTGTGGAGAGCCACTGCAACTTTCCTGTTGCTTTGTGTCTCTTTACACTGCAGCCCTCCTCACCCTTGCTTAAGCATCATGCCTTGCTCTGAGCTGCTCCAATGGGTAGAACTCAGGAGTGTGCTGGCTCAGATGGCCCTCAGTGCACCGTGTGCCACACAACCCCATTAGCTGTGTCACAACATGGTGCCTCTGGGTCCCTGCCTTCTCTCCAGGGAGCACCTGCAGTCCAGCACGGTTTCTCCTGCTTTATGTCCCCCGGGCACACTGTTGTCACTGCAGCCAGCTCTGCCACTGCTAATTGTGTCCTCTGAAAAAGGACTATCAATATGGCTGAACTGAATCCTGATGTGGCGGTGCAGAGGGGTCATTAGCACACTACTGCAACTCCTTAATCCTGACTTTTTCAATACAGATGCTTGGAAGTGGAGAGCAAACAGATACAGAGGCAGGGCAGGATGTGTCAGGATCAGTCCTTGCACATGATCCTGGAGTACTGAAGAAAAGTAGGAACAACTGTTTGAAATCAGCTGCTAGTATGTATTGCTCACCATCTTATCTCCTACAGTGGCCATGAGCTATTATCTTAGTGCAAGAAGGCATAGCTACTGCAGTACCACCCAGAATACTGTGACGTGCAGCTCAGAGGCCTCAGAAGCAAAAATAAGGGCTTCTATTTAACCAGTGTGGGTGGATTTTTTTTCCTCCCATGATGATATTTAACCTCTTTTTGAATGCACATAAACCTTGATGACCCACCATATCCTCTGCTAAGCAGTTTGACGCAGCATAGGGCATATTAAAAAAAAAAATCTGCTTTTCATTTCGTAATCACTACCCGCTAATTTATGGGACACTGATGGTTCTTATATCAAAGGGACAACGAGAACTCATACTGCAGTCAAACTCTGTATGCCAAACTTAATTTTATAATCCTGTCACACTTCCCTTCAGCCATCTCTTCTCTGGGGCTAAAGAGACTTTCTGCTTTTCCTCATATGGAAGATATTCTTTGTATTTGATCTGCCTTGTTGCTCTTCTCTGAAACCCTTCCAACTCTGTTTTCCTTGAGAGAAGCCAACCAGAGTTCCATATGGTAATCACGATGCAGTGTCCACTATGGCTCTGTTCAGTGGCATGTATCTGATCTGCTCTCCATTATTTTCCTAATAATTCTTAACAGTCTTTTATTTCCACTGCCAGCTCTTAAATGAGGTCTAGGCAAGGGAGGATCCTGGCTCCACCTCTTCCATCACTCAGATACATTGCATGCACCTGAGCTCCCCTGGGCTGGCCCTGCCTTCCCACCAGGTGCTCAATCACAGGCTGTAACTCAGCATTTCTGCTACAGGGTCAGAGTGAAGCTTAACCATAAAGAAAGGAAGGGCATGAGGATCCTCTCTGGCTCTTTTTACAGTCCTTGCATCTGCCTCCCCCCTTTTATGTTTGAGGATCTCCCTCTGGTCTCCCTCACAGGAGTCTTTTCCATTTATGGAGTCCCCCTCCAGTTTCTGTCTCCCCTCGGCCACCTGTTCCTCTTTTGCTTCATTGCTGTTGCTGCTGATGCAGGAGGAAATCCCCAAAGCTGACACTGAAGTAGCTGTCCAGAAACATCATTCCTCTCTCTGGGCTACAACTGCAGGAAGAACCTAAGCATCACATTCTGTGACCAGACCTAAGCAGCGCTGCTTTTCCTTTGCTCCTTTCTCTTCCTGCAGTATTTTTGCTTTCTGCTTATTTCCAGCTTGTGGTTCTTACAGAAACAGCAGCTCCTGTGCAGCTATCTATGTTCTCTGCCTACAGGCAGACAGAAGCACGATGCAGTAACAGCAGTGGGGGTGGTTGCTGTGATGGCATACAGCTGTGAGAGGCACTGCTGGGACATGGGCACTGCCAAGGAGCTCCGGGCTGGGCTGCTGAGCACCTCCAGTCGTGCAGGGCTGGGGCTGACCCGCACCTCCTCTCACCACTCCCAAGCCTCTCCGTGCCTCTGCTGCTCCCACATCGGTGCTGGCTGCCGCAGGTGCTGGGCATGCCGCAGGGCGGCCCCCCGCCTATTTCTGCCACTGATGCTGTTTCCTTCTGCTCTGTTTTCTCTCCCTGCTCTGGAGGGGTTCTTTCCCCAGAGTTGCGGTGTTTTTTTCCTAACTATTTTTCAAGTAGCTGGCTGAGTCTCTGGAAAGGATAATGAGATCATTTTCATTGCAGAATGCAAATCCATGCAAGCCTTCCCTGTTCGTTATTTCTCCCCTGCAGACTCTGGCCACGCTGCTGCTAATTCGTATTTGTTGATATTCCTCAGCAGCCGAACACACAGAGTGTGCTCCAGACGGTACCCAGATGTGATTGGAGCCGGTACCCTCTTCCCGCTAACAGAGAATTGCAAATTATCACAACAGCGGCAGAGGAATAACCTTTACGCTTCATTAAAATTCCACAGACTCTGCTCTGTTTCCCCTTCCGCGAACCCAACGGGCACCGCGGGTGGAACGGGATCCCCCTCCCATCCACCCGTCGGCTTCGGGCCGGGATGCGATGCGACATCTCTGTGGGTCCGCCGCTCCCGCCCGGGCCGTGTGCCGCTGCGGGGGCCGCGGTCCCACCAGGCGCCCCGTGGATCCGAAGGACGGGGTCCGGCTCGGAGCCCGCCGCCTACGGTCGGGGAATTGACGGAATCTGCGTCCGTCGCGCTCTACCGCAGCGTGCAGCCCCGCCGCGAGCCAACTCTGAGCCGCGCCGCGCTCCCGCCGGGCATTTTCCGTGGCCGAGGCAGCGCCCGGCTCCGCGAGCGGCGAATCGAGGCGGCAACTCCCGCCGGGCCCAGGAGGGGGCGCCGCGGCGCGGGCGGAGCGCGGGGCGGGGCTGCCGGAGGGCTCCGGAGAACAAAGGTTCCGCGCTCCCCTCCGCAGCGCCGCGCCCCGGCGGGAGGAGCCACCGCCGCCACCGCCGCCAACGCGGGGAGCGCGGGGCGAGGGCGACCCCTGCCGGGCGCCGCCGGACAGACGCAGACGGGCGGGGGGATCAGGCCGCGCCCCGTCGGCTCCTTTCGGCTGCCCTTAACTCCTCCGGCCTCCCGGTCCTGTTTGGCATTCGCCTCTCACCCAGACCTCTCCTGGCCTCGGGCTTCCCACGCGTTCATCCTCCTTCCTTTTCCTGACTTCCAGCCTCTTGCCACCTGCTCACCCGTTTATGGTGTCTGCAGTTCTGTCGCCTTCCACCCATTTTGGCCTCCACTTTTTAGTTTGGCCCCACCCTTTTTCACCAGCTTGAAAGTAGAGACCGAAAAAGGGTGGGAAGGTGTAAAACAGGTGGAAAGGCAAGCAATGAAGTGGAGCCAAAAAAATGGGAAGGAGGCTGAGAAGAAGTGGGAGTCCTTCCCTCCCTTTTCCCCTTCCTCTCTCCCTTCCCTTTCTCCTAAACCTTCTTCTTCCCATTTCCCTTTTCTCCACCCCCTTCCAGGCCCAAAGGCGTTGCTGCTGTATTTGTGTTTGTTTCCAGGGGAAGAGTGAAGCACCGTGGGGATGAAGCCTGGTTAAGCTGAAAAAAATGCAGCTGTTTTTCCTGCGTTATTTTTTTTCCTGTACACCAGTAAGTTCTTACATGCGAGTATTTTTCCATTCATTCCATAACTCGGAAATAGTTGAAAGGAGGTTAATCGAACATTTGAATTAAGTCCATCTTCAAGCAAAGGCTCAGCATGGAAAATTTTAGCTGCAAAACAGACGTTCTGGAGAATGGAGCTGGCAGAGCCAACAGGCAGAGCTGGGATGGGCTGGGAACGGCACCGTGTACCGATGGTCAGCAGTGGGAAGGCAGCTGCTGGGAAAAGTGCTTCCAGCAGTGTGCCTGTGCTGCGCTGGTGCCAGTACCCAACCAGACAGGGTTCTCAGGACATTACAGTATTAGCATGGGCAATAAATACTGAAATTTAACTGAAATCACACACAGCGATGACTCAGAGGCAGCATTCCCTCCATGCTGGGGCAGGTGCAGCAAGGAAGGAGCTGCCACGGAAAGGCAGCTGAAGTGCAGAGGACTTCTAAGCTCTGAAATGTCCTGCATACGTAGACAGACATCCTTCTAGAGCACTGCCCGGAGCTCTGGGTGCGCAGGGAGCTGGATCTGATCCCAGGACACAGGTGCTGGGCCTGGCTGAACAAAGGGGACCAGACAACAAAGGATGTAATGATTTAAAGCCCTCTGGACCCAGCGATTTTTTTCCTGATTTTCAGAGTGCAGCAAAAACAGGGGCACTGTTCTCAACACCGCTCTCTCAGGATGGCTGTGAGGAACCACGTTCAGCCCCACACCATCCAGCAGTGCTGTGGGACCCGCAGATCCAGGCTTTGGGGACGGCTGTGTGCACAGAGGCACCGCACTGGTTCCGGCTGTGCAGTGCAGCAGCTCCGGAGCAGGCTGTGCACGCTGGCACAGAGGAGCAGTGGGTGCTGCTCTCCAGGCTGTGGCTGCACACAGCAGTGTGTGCACATCGAAGCACCGCAGTGCCGCTCCTGGGATGCTGCGCTGTGCTCCTTCCTCCTTCCGCACCTCTGCCTGCCTGCTATGAATGGAGTCTTGGCTTTGTTTTACCGATTTCTATTTAGTATCCTAAAATATTCACTCCGAGTTCCGCTTGACAGACGTCCCTAATCTAATCTCCACGTCTGCTTTCTAATTTTCGCAGTCAGGATAAAACAAATCGGCCGCCGTTAATTGCCTGCGCCGCAGCCGGGAGCTTTGGGCCGTGATTTACGAGCTCGGAGCAGGCGCTCTGCAACGCATTTTTCTTAATTTATTTTTAATGAGTCTCTCAATTAATTTTCTTGGAAACATCTTAATGATGTTGGAGGCGAGTGTTAATGAGGTTTGCACCAGTGCCTCATTTTGCATATCTTAAAGTACTGAATGGCATCACGAACACACGCTTGGTCCTAAAAAAGAGCAAGGAATAGGACTGGGTGGAGACACCTCGCTCAGCTCCCACCTTGTTCAGGCATTAGGGCCGTGTGGGGCTGCCTGCAGTGAGCCCACCGAGATGGGTAACCCTGCAGAGATGGGTGAACCTGGCAGCAAGGGCAAGCAGAAGGGCAGTGCCACACACATGGCCCTGTGGCTGGAACTCATCTCAACAAACAGAACCAGGCCCTGGCCTCAGCATCCGGGCTCACTGCGGTGTTCCTGTGCTTCCCGCAGAACATGGGCACTGCATCCCCTGCTGTGCCCATCGGTGGCGCAGGCTGGGCTGCACAGCACCCTGGTAATTGTCGTGTGTGTGTGGCTGGAGGCAGCAGCTGGATTGCCTTTGTTTCCTCACAGCATGTCAGTCTTCATTACACCAGAGAGGAATGAAAATGGATTCACTTTTGTCCCAGCCAGAATGTGGCAGCTGTTTAATTTCAATTAACGTGGCACTGAAAAGAATAACACTGCGGCAGTAATTAAAGTGAGACGGCTCCAACCCCAGTGCTGCTTGGCATGTGGTGCCGGCTCACCCAACAGAGAACTGCTTCAGCCCCGTGTTCTCCCAGCAGCAGGCAAGGAGGGCAAGCAGCCTGGCACGGCTCGGCATGGCTCAACACAGTGCAGTGCTGCTGGGAAATGCTGTTCCCTTGCACTGGCAGAAGCTAAGGCTAAATTCAGCACAGCAGTTCTGCACAGCAGTGCCAATTCCTAGCTAAAACACCACTCATGGAACTGTGAAGTGTGGTGAGGGCATGGCAGGTGGAGCTGGGAGCTCATCTGTACCAGGTCAGCTCTTCTAGGCCTTCCCACACCCATGGGCACCACACCTACCCCTGAACCTCCAAGCAGTGTTAGGGCTGTGCTGAGCCCCCTTGGACCCCATTTCCCCCAGCAGCTGTGCCAGACCCCCGTGCTGCGGGCATTGCGCTGCCGGAGCTGCCAGACCCAAGCTGTTTGGGTACCACAGCTCATGCAGCAGAGGGATCAGTGCTGTGTTTTTTCCCACTATTGATCTGGTGCTTTAAAAGGGGAAAAAAATCTCCCTGGCTGTCTAAACACTATTGATCCATGCCGGGAAGCCGCACAGACAGGGAAGGGCGTGGAGAAATTGAAATTTAATTTCCGACAACTTGTTCCTGTTACTTTTACCTTTTTGGACAGAAGCACGGAGCAGCAGCCGCTGTCGATGCGGTCGATCCCTCCTCTGGCAGCACTGTGCAGCTCTGTGAGCCCTGCCGGGATGCAGCCGTCCCAGGATACGGCACCTATGGCACCAAGCACAGCTCCGCTCTGCACCTTGGCAGCGTGGCTGGAGTGCGGCACAAGGATGGCACAGAGACATGAGGGTGTGAACACCTGAGATTGGCACGAGGCTGCCAGAAGGTTCAGCCCCTGACAGCACTGGGCACAGTGGTGGTTTCCTGTGCAACAACCTGGGCCAGGCACAGTCACCGGGTTCTGGTTCCAGGCATTGTCCTCAGAACAAGACCAGGGCTGGGCTGCAGTGGGAAGAGTGCCATACTGTGCCGGGGATGCAGCATGGGCAAGGGGGAAAATGGTGCAGGGAGGTGAGAGCTGCAGGCACTGCTGGGGCCCTGCACCCTGGAGAGGAGGGACTGATGCTGCTGGGGTCGGGTGAGCCCCGTGTGCCTTCACTTCACAGGCAGAAGGTGCTTTTGGGAGCTGCAGCACCAATGGTGTGAGCAGGCCTGGGTGATGTCCCTGGCTGCCCCCTTCCACGGGACCCAGGGCTGTCTGTGTTGTCTTAATCCATGCTCTGGTCTCTCCAGTAGAGAGAATGTGACCAGAATATGGCACCTGCAGGGAGGTTCCTGCAGTGAGATGCCAGCCTAGGGAGACCCAGGGAGGGCTGCGAGGGGCAGAGGTGACCATGGCAGAGCTGAGCAGCCACATCCAGCAGCACCAGCAAGAGATGGAATTCTGTCAGTCCCAGGTAAGCAGTGCTAGGCAGTGGGTGTGCAGTGCAGGTTGGTGGGCAGGCAGTGGGGAGGCCCTGGCAGCCATCACCTGTACCAACAGAGAGCCCCCCAGCCTGGGACCTGGGAACAGCGCGAGGGCTCGGGGAGGAGCATCCGGCTCTGCTGCAGCTGCACTGGTGCAACTGTCACCATTTTTCACACCTTGCTCCCGTCCACCTTGCTGGGGGACAGGAGACACTGCCACCATGGGAAGGGCACGAGGGTCTGTGGCAGGGACCAGGGGCCAGGAGCTTGCCACAGGTTACACCAGCATGCTGCAGAGCTGGGCAGCAGTAGTGCCTGAGACCCCCAGGAGATGGCTGAACACACACTCGGGGAGAGGTCTTCACCCAGCAGTCCGGTGCTGCTTGCTGACCAGAACCTGGTCCCGCAGCACGTCTGTCCAGCCCCAGTGTCTGTCAGGGGCTACAGGGTGGGCTGACGCCAGGTACCACTCACAGATATGAGACAAACAAGCTGCTGCTCACGCTGTGTCCTAGGGCCAGAGAGAAGCAGTAGTGCTGGAGCCACAGCATGGAGGGGCCCAGACACGCCAGGACTCACAGCAGCAGGACACGCCAGCCTTCCTACAGATGCTGCAGGTGGACCTGGACATCTGCAGGGACCTGAACAGCATGCGGCTGGCCCAGCTGCATCTGCAGCAGCGTGTGGTGGAGCAGAAGCACCAGGACTTGATCTCTCAGAAGCATCGTTACCAGGCAATGATGGAGCAGGTACCGCTGCCCGGTGCAAAGACCACAGGCTGGGCTGTGCAAATTCCCCACCCTCAGCCACATGTCCCCTGCAGCCATCTCAGACCCAGCGAGGCACCACTACTGCCCAACAGCACTGCAGAGGGCAGTGAGCAGCCCGCAGAGCACAGGGCACATTCTAGCTGCCTTCCGCAGGGCGAGAATGCAGCACCACACTCCCAGCTCCAAGCAGGCACAGTTGCTGTGGGCCTGTCTGCTCAACAGAGCAGAGCTGGGTGACTGCAGCCCCCATGTGGCATCTGCAGCCTGGGATCCATGGAGCTGGGCTCACTGCCCTCCTCCACACCCCAGCATGGGTCAGGGGCTGCTGCCTAGGGCTGCTGGGGGACAGGAGACACTGCCACAATGGGAAGGGCATGAGGGTCTGTGGCAGGGACCAGGGGCCAGGAGCTGCAGCCCCATGGGGCTGGCCATGTCCCTTTGCCAAAAATCCATCCAAAAGCCCACTACCATCAGGCTGTCCCAGCCCCTCCATAGGCAGAACATGACACAGTGCACCCTGCTGGGGACCCACGCACAGCACTGCACCTCTCCACAGGACCAGAAGGACACATCTCAGATAGAGGCCACCTCTGCATATTCCTGTAGTAGTTCCGGTGCAAGTAATGATCTCCTGGAGGAGTACACAGAGCAACTCGAGCAGGTCCGTGCCTCAGGCACAGTGCCAGTGCGGACTGCTAGGAGCTGGCAGGCAATGTCCCAAGGTGCTGCTCCCACAGGTGGCCATGCAAGCAGGTAGAGAGCACTGCAGACAGAGGTGGGAAGTCCAGGAGCATCAGTACTGGTCGTCGACAGGGCACAGCACTGCTAAGGAAGGTAGGAGGGCATGGAGAGGACTTCTATGTTAATGAGGCCAGGACAAGTGGGGCCTGCAGCCTGCTGCTTTGGCAGCTCCAGCATGGAGCCCATGGCTGCCATGTTCATGTACTACAGCAGCACTCAGGGTATCCTGGTGCAATGAAGGGGAAAGGGTAAGAAGGATCTCTGTGAATTTGAGGCATCACTGGTTGCAGAGTTACAGGGCAGCGTTACCCCAGGCAGTTCTGGAGTGGTGGGCAGGTAGCACATGGCCCATAGCACGCAGGGTCCTGAGCATTGCAGGAAGCAGCCCAGGAGCTCTGAGGAGATTCAGTGTCCCAGATCTGCGCTGCAGGGTTGAGTCCTGCTCCTCTTCTCTCAGAAGCCCAGGGCAGGAGGAGGCAGTGCCAGCAAGCAGCCCTGTCTCGAGCAGCCCAAGTCCCAGCACGGTCACTGGCAGCCCAGAGCTGCCTACAGCACAAGAAGGAACAGCTGCAGCCACATGCAGGGAGCACCATGCAGTGCACAGAGGAACAGCCGTGCTCTTGTGCAAAGAGCAGCATGCAGCACACAGCTGACAGCAGCATAGTGGAGCCGCGAGCGCCGCAGGAGGTAGCAGAAAGCAGGTATGTGGGCCCTGATCCCATGCCCCAGCACAGGCAGAGCCCTGCCCTGTGCCCTCTCTGTAGAGGGAGGGGACCCAGGGCTGCTGCAGTTGTGGCCGTGCTTGCAGGGAGATGGCAGTGTGGCTCCAGATGGAGCTGAGCCAGTGGCAACAGAAGCAGCAGGTGACTCTGGAGCAGTCACTGCAACACATGCATGCTGCTGCCCATGCCAAACAGGAACTACAGAAGAGCCAAGAGCAACTCCAAGCCCTGAAGAAGCAGGTAGGCAGCAAGCCAAGCTTCAGGCACTAGGGGGGCTCAGCCTGGTGCACCAGGCACCCCAGTGTCTGCAACAAAGCCCATGCAGCACAGAGCTGGAATCCACAGGGAGAGGGCACAGGAAGCAGCAGTGGCACAGCACTGTGGCCTCCACTCATGTGCAACCTTTCTGCAGCTAAAGGCTCAGAAGGAGCAGAACCGGACCCTGCAGCACAGCCTGGAAAAGCAGCAAGAGGTGCTGACAGCCACCAAGGCTCGGGAGATGCAAAGCTTGCAGCAGCTCAGTAGACACAAGCAGACAATCCACGACCTACAGCAGAAAGCAGCCTCGAGCAGAAAGAAGGTGGCAGAGCTGCTACAGCAGGTGATGGCAGGAAGAGGGCAACCACATGGTGCAGCCAGCTGCCATGCAGTTCCCTCTGTCTCAGCTGGAGAAGGATAGAGCCCACAGCACTGACCCTGGGTGCAGCTCCAGCTTCCTCTGTCTGGCCACTCCCACTCCAAGACCCATCCTTTTTCATGCAGGTGGAGGAAGTGGCATCCCTGAAGGCAGAGCTGGCCCAAGCCCAGAGAAAGATAGGCCACAATCTTCCACTCCTTTGTCGTTATGAGAAAGAGAGGCAGCAGCTCCACAGGGAACTGGAGAAGCAACAGAGGGCCCAGGTGCAGAGCCAGCAGGAGGTAAGCATGGCCCAAGCCTTCCCACTAGGCACCTGTGCTAAGCCTGCACGTCTCTCATCACCTCTGTGCCACCGGCAGGCCCGCTCCTTCCAGGAGAAGCTGCAAAAGCTGAGCAGCCAAGTTCAGTACTGGCAGGAGTTACACCAGGACACTCAGCAAACTCTGGCTAGACGGGAAGATGAGCTGTCTGTCTGTAATGCGGAGATGGATTTCAAGGAAGAATTCATCAAGGCCATGAGACAGGCTCAGGCCAGGAACAGGCAGAACCAGAACCACAGCCCAAGGGCAGGAGGAGTGCAACCTGAGCCCCAGGCACCGCTGAAGGACAGATCCTGGCCTACAGGCAGGACAGAGGTGGAAAGGCCAGGCCACGAGTGGGTTAACTGCAGAGCCAACAAGGGAGGAGGTGGTGGGTCTGTAAGCAGCAGCAGTGCTAACATCTTGTTCTTCTTTAAGTAGTCCACTTTTCTCTGTTGCTAGAAAGGAGCCCTCAGTATGAAATTAAGAGTTTCTGTCCAGACTGCTGAGGTAATGATTCCTTCATTCCAGAGCAGCTATCCCAAAACACAGGCAACTGCGGACTCACAGCTCAGCCCCAAAGGCTGCTGCCTCCACGCAGCTCTGCTCATGCACCTTCCTTCTGCCCTGGGCATGTAGAGGCTGAGTAGAGCACATGAGTTCACACACAGCACAGAGTATTGTTTTTTTCAGGTAAAAACCCTGCACTCTTCCCACACCCCAGCCTGTTCTAACAGGTTGCACCAGGACAGGAATCTGATGCTGATCAATAACAGCCAGAATGTGAAAGAGCAGATGTGAGTAAGAAGAAGCCTTACACAAGTAGAGGGGAGCCGATGGCTGCCTTCTCACAACTAATTCAGCCTACACCTCATTTTCAGGCAGTCAAATGAGAAGCAACACCACAAGATCCAGCAGCAAGTCAAGCAGGCTGCAGAGTTCACAGGCAAAAACCAGTAAGTAATGAACACGGGGAGTACATCTGAGCACTTACTGCCACCCACAGGGGTGCATGGGACAGATGAACTGCTGGATTACCCAAGTTCCTGCAAGGCCAGCAGAGCAAGGCTGTCTCTGCACCAATAGCTTACCTCACCTTATCTCATTTCCTCTGCCTATCCTCCAGGCATCTTCAAGACACACTGGACAGCTTGCATGTGGAAAACACATACTTCAGGTCTAGAACACATGTACAGTACCACAATCATGAGCAGATGAAGGTGAGCAGAGTAACAGTCAACCTGGCCCAAAACAATGCTAAGCTGATGCTCTTTTGTGTACAGGGACAACTAGGCACTAGCTGCCTGCCCAGGATACAAGTCATGGAATACTCGCATTTGCATTAGTCCAGCCCAGATCTAGGCCAGGCACAGGTTGTTTTTGTCCTCCATGCCAATGTATTTCTTTGCCTTGTCCCAGGCTCTACAGGGCAACAACCTGACTGCACGAGCCCTGCAGAACTTGGCAGGGTTGTCTCTGCCTGGAACTTACCTCCAGGATGAGAAGTTACACAAAACAACGGAAGGGTTAAAGACTCACAACCTTTAAACAAATAAAATTATTTCTCTTCTGTAGCAAAAATAGTACAGAGCATCAAAGCCTTCTTGGGTCACAGGCTGTAGAGAGCAGTCAGAGGAACTGAGCCCTAAAACTCAGCAGCTCCTGGGGAGTCTTTATGCCTCAAAGCAATGAGCACTCCCTTCTCAGAGGCCGAAGCGGGCTGGGGTGCGTCGTGGCGTCAGGGGCTCCCCCTGCTCCTTCCGTCCAGGCGTATAGATTTTAGTACATCTGCCAGGAAAGGACAATGGCGATTAGTGTAAAATGAAAACAACTCTTGCGCCAGGAACACCTGTGGGAAAGTTGGGATCCTCCATGCAGCTTACTACTGCTCTTAAGCAGGAAACCCACAGTGTCAGCACTCACCTTGCACTGCCTAACGGGTTACGGCGCTCCTGCTCCTCCCGGCGGGCACGCAGCTGCTCCTCAGCCAGAGCCATCTCTTCTTCCATGGCGGATACTTCCTCCTTTGCACGTCGGCGGTTCTCCTGCAGTAAAGCAGCAGCAAATCAGGAACAGGTAGAGCCCTGCACAGCAGCAGACTTTCCACAGGCCCACAACCCTGATCTCTCTAAGTAAAAACAAGACAAAAAACTAGCTTGAACTTCCTCCATCATAACAAGTGTGCAGTGGGGCTGTATGCAGCAGGAACCCCACCCAGGCACACATTCTCCCTTCCAGTGTTGTAGCCCGCTGTTTCTGTCTCCCATCTGGTCCTGGAAAGGAGAATTCACCTGACGTGATTTGCCAGCATGTTTGATACTGTAGAACATGGGGCCCAACTCTGCCAGCCACTCTCCATCCACGGCAGTGACACACTGCATGTATTCCTGCAGGAACAGAAGGAAAGATCCAGTTAGCAGGATGATGAGGGCCTGGGCATCACTGACAGAGACATGGCAGCTCCCTCCCTCCTCCACTTCTTGATGGCAGTTCTCTTTTCCAGACAATTCCTCCTGACTTCAAAAGCTACGACCTGGAGTTAGTGAGACTAACAGACATCCCATGTAAGCAAGGAAGATATCACAAAAGAGACAAACAAGACACTGCAGACTACACAGATACACCCAGTTGCTAGAGATGAGAAAAGCTGAGAACAGGACCTTCCAAGATGCTACTATCAAGGCAAAGCTTCTCAGCTCCCTTGGAGCATTGCTCACCCTTCCTGCTAGCTCTCAGCTCAAGCTTACCTTGGTGGTCATGACCAGCTCATGATATACAATGTAGTCCGGCGTGTAGCCCATGCCAAAGAGGGAGCTGGTGGGGTGCAGGTGGCAAGGCATACCTGTACGGATATTGACGTACTCCCCAATGCCCTGCACAGGAAAAGTGTGGTTAGCACACCCATTCCCAGTGGGGAGGGTCTCTTATCACACAGATGAGTAGAGACCCCTCTCACTTTCAGCTTTGCAGCTTGATGGAAATACGCAGCACAGATACACTTCCTGACAACATCCCAGTCAGTACCACAGGATGCAAGGCTCATGCGCTGCTGCACCATAATGTCCTTGAGCTGGGCACGCACCTCCCGCACCTGCACAGAAACACAACAGTCACATCCCTCTCCCATGTAAGGTTCCTTCTCCAAACCTCATTGCCGCAGCCTCACTTTCCGCATGGCCTTGGCGTGAATGAAGTGCTGGTTGCACCACAGAGTAGAGTAGTTGTTGTTCTTCCACTGCAGGTAAACATTCAGGTAAGTTAAGTGATCACTCTCTGGGACAGCAAATTTCTCCCGCACTTGGTCACTCTCTTCCTCTCGGCCCTGAAGAGCAAGCAAAGAACACGTCAGTCAGACTGCAGATGAAGGCCCCAAGCTGCCGAAAGATCAAACAAGTACCTTAGGCCGATAAAAGATGGCAGGCACAGACAACATGGAAACAATGAGCAATATCTCAGAGCTGCAACCCATATCACATGAAACAATGAGCATTTTGGAGAGCGCAGGATCCAATGGGAACTCCACCATCAGACGTCCTGTTGAGGTCAGACCACCTGGAGGAATATTGTAAGAATCAGCAGGTGGGCAGGTCCTAGCAGTTCTGTGTGAACTGACAGCCTGCCCCTGTAGCCAGTACCTGTGTTATCCAGGGCCCCCAAAATCCACAACTGGTACATGGAGTTGAGCATGTTGTCCTCAGGGGGCGGATCCATGAAGTGGAACTGCAGCAGGTCCTGTACCCCCAGAGATTTGAGCAGAAGCACTACATTGGCAAGGTTGGTGCGCTGGATCTCAGGCACTGTGGTTGTCAGCAGCTCGTTCTTGTAGGCGCTCTGGGTGTAGAGCCTGGGGGAAAGATGCCAAGAGCGTGCCCCCTCCCCTTCAGGCCACTGTATTCCTCACTGAATGACCATCCATTCCCAACCCAAGCAGGCACAGCACAAAGCAGCAGCTCTGCACTCAGCCATGCCAACAAGCAGGACCCTAAGGAAATTCTTCCTCAGGTCACTGTGCAGCCTCCCCAGCACATAAGAGCACCTGCAGCACAAAGGTACACCTCTCTCACAGTCTTTCCCTGGGTGCAAACCAGCCTCAAAGAAAAGCCTTGAGAAAGCTGCCTTTGGCTTAGCTATTAACCTGAGAGTATTCAAGCATCTGGTTCAGGAAAGGTGGAAAGAGTCACAAGTGAAGATTGGCAAGGGAAGAAATGAGAGCATGCTCCGTTCTCTGCAGAGACACTGGGTCCAAACCAGAAACCTCAAGGCCTGTCCAAAGACCTCATCCCCACAATAAGCTCAAGACAATGAACAGCTATCTCTTCAGTAAGGAAAAAAATATGTAGCCAGATGTCCAGACGTGAATTATGATAAGAATAGGAACACCAGTAATGAGCCTACCTGAAGCAGTGACCTGGGCCTGTTCGGCCAGCTCGACCAGCTCTCTGATTGGCATTGGCTTGACTGATAGGGTAGATCTGCAGTGCATCCATGCCTATACGGGGATTGAAAACCTGAAGGGTGCAAGGAGAGCAGACTGAAGAAAGAGAACGGCTGGGTCACTGTCACAGAGCTCAATCAACCCAATGCCAGAGATCCATGAACAGTATAGAAAACCTTTGCTTACCTTCAGCTTGCAGTATCCAGAGTCAATAACAAACATGATACCATCCACTGTCAGTGAGGTCTCTGCAATGTTAGTGGCAACAATGCACTTCCTGACCCCATCTGGAGCCTGCAAACATATCGCACATCAGTCAAATTCCATGGGCAACAGCCTCTGCACCACTGAGGAAGACTGCAGAGCAGCCATACAGAACTTAGAAGGACATGGGTGACTTCTTGGGAAGTTAAAGGGGGCACATGCTTTCCCTTGCGCTGTAAGTACCACACAAAAGACATCTCTGCAGTTCTCTCTCATGCCCAGTAGCCTTCCCTGTGCTAGTTTCATCTCTGCCCAGTCCCATCAGAGTACACATCAGCACCTTCTGGAAGATCTTGGCTTGTAAGTCCGATGGCAGTTGAGAATAGATAGGCAGTACAGCAAGTGCAGGTGCTTTCTCCAGCTCCTCAAGGTGCTCCACAATTTGTTCTGAAGTCACCTAGACACAGAGAGGAGTGTTAACATACGATTAAGAAAGTACAACTCAGAATCACAGAATTGCAGGGGTTGGGAGGGACCTCAAGAGATCAAGTCCAACCCTTTCCCACAGGCTGAACAGACCCAGGTTACTCAGCCTTTCCTCATACATGAGATGCCCCAAAGATCTTTTATCATCTTTGTGGCCCTTTGCTGGACTTCTAAGAGATCCCTGTCTTTTTTGACCTGGGGAGCCCAGAACTGGATACAGTATTTTAAATGTGGCCTCACTAGGTCAGAGCAGAGAGAGAGGATCACTTCCCATTACATGCTGGCCACCCTCTTTTAAATGCACCCCAGGATAACATCGGCTTCTTGGCCACAAGGGCACACTGCTGGCTCATGGCCAACGAACTCACCTCAATATCCTCCTGACCAGGCATGAAGACAAGGATGTCTCCAGGTGCACCAGACAAATGGACCTGCAGAGCTTGTTTCACTGCAGCCTCCACATAATCCTCTTGTGGTGTCTGAAAGACACAGTTCACATTAGACACCAGTAATCTCACCTGCCCCACTTTGTGTATAAGACTGCATTATAACATAGCTATTCCTTGTCTTTCCTCTCTGATCACTGCAGAGCGGGGCATACGCAAGGTACAACTCTTACAACCCCTTCACAACACAAACTCTCTCTACTACATTGACCATACCTTACTGAAAAGAATATCAACAGGAAAGGTGCGCCCAGGAATGTGGAAAATGGGAACATTCCCAAAAAAAGAGGCAAATTTATCAGCATCCATAGTGGCAGAGGTGACAACAAGCTTCAGATCCGAGCGTCGCGCTACCACCTAGAAAACAGATAAAAAGGACAATAAGCAAGTGATATTTGTACGTGGGTCCAGACTTCTTCCATCACTTCTGAAAAAAAACCAGCAAAGGGCTGAGCTTCCACTGTACTCTAGAAATACTAACCACTAATGCCAGGGTACACCAACACACCAGTTAAAAAGACAGGCTGTCCCCTGAGAAAGCTGAGAAAGTCTTATACTTGCAAACACCTCTGTATCTAGAGCTACTTTATACCAGCAAACCTTTGGCAGCACACTAAGGGGGAGATTTAAGAAACAAAGAACAAGATGTTTAAGCAGCAAGTGCAGTCAGAGATGTGGCAGTCTCTGTTCATCATCTCTGCTCTGATGTGGGAGAAAAGCACTGTTCCTGCCACTGTTCTGCCCTAAGACCAGCTCAACTGCCCTATGTCACCATCTTCCTGTAGTCCAGGCTCACACACACCTCCCGAAGCAGGCCAAAGAGCACATCAGTATTGAGTGAACGCTCATGTGCCTCATCCATGATGATAGCACTATAGTTGTCCAAGTCAGCTTCTCGTAGCGACTCACGAAGGAGGATCCCATCTGTCATGTATTTGATTATTGTGTTCTCTGACGTGCAGTCTTCAAAGCGGATGGCATAACCCACCTGGGGGGCAGAGATATCAGCAAG